CTTAGCCTTGGCACACTGTAAGTGTTCAGTTAGTGACTGGGTGAATGGAACACCTAAGGTCGCTGTCACAAGAGGCATGGAGTCAGGAGGCAGCTGTAACGGATCAGAAGGAGGACTGTGAAAAAAGAAAAAGCAGCAACACTTACTTGCTAGGTGGTAATGGAAATTTCAGACAATTAAAGAAGAAACTAATAAAATTGTCAGCACTTCAGTGACATGATAATTTTATCACATGAAGGAACCAGTATTTAAAGTATGCCAGACTGTCAGCATTGAAAATCTGCAGTGAACTACTGAAATGAAGCTGTTAGTTCACTTTATGTATACTTTACTCCAGTGAAGTTTAACTTTTATATTTGTATTTTTTCCTATGAATGTTTTTCTGCCAGATTCTTTTTTTTTCTCAACAGGAAATAGAAATCTCTGACCTTCTATAGTTAACCTCAAATAAATTCATGTGTGGAATAGAAATCAGACAAATAAATCAGGGTGTGTGAGTCCTGAAAGGAAATTCCAAATTGTAGCACATTGAGCAATGTTACTTCAACAATGAAAAGCCCTATGAGTACCCAAGTGATAGCTTTTGAACAAAATATTCAAAATTTAAATTAAATGACCTAAGTAAACTGTCGGTGTCGCTCCCGGCCGGCAGGAAGAACACACGACAAGATCTGGCAGTGGCTAGGCTCTCTTTATTTTCCTTCTCCGCACAGTCTGCCCCGGGATTCTTCCCGGCCGAAGCCTCTACCGGTCCGCTCTCCGCGGCTGCTTCCGTGCTTCTTCTCTACAGTCTGTCCCGAAGCCTCTACCGGTCCGCTCTCCGCGGCTGCTTCCGTGCTTCTTCTCTACAGTCTGTCCCGAAGCCTCCACCGGTCCGCTCTCCACGGCTCCTTCCGTGCTTCTTCTCTACAGTCTGTCCCGAAGCCTCTACCGGTCCGCTCTCCGCGGCTCCTTCTGTGCTTCTTCTCTCGTGGCGGGAGAGGCACTCACTTTTATAGGGTTACAGTGGCCAATCAGTTCAAAGCGCGCGATGCGGGCTGATTGGCTAACATCAGTTGTTGCTAGGCAGACTATCTTACAGGGCGGGTTGTTTACCAAGCAGGAAGCAGGAGATAAGCGCCATCTTAGCACACTCGATGGGAGGGGTAATCTAGCTCAGGCTTTGCTCTTTCCTACAGGCCTCACGTCCGCCAAGTAAGGCGACCGGGCTCGGCCGCGGCTCCCAACAGTAAACTAGAAAATCAAGCTTTAGGTGTTCACAGCTTTCATCTTTGGATATTTGGAGCTTAGAAACAGATCAGAAAGCATACACGTGTATCTTCTGCACTCGCTGAGTGCCAGGACTTCCAGTAGTTTCCATGCTCTGTGCTTTTCAGAGAACCATAATTATTTTGCATGCCAGGATACCGTTTTTCCACTGAATGAGAATCTCAGTAGCCAAACTTCCTGAGTACTGTTTATGTCATTTTTATCACTGAGAACTGATCCTTACTTATGTAACCATAGTTTCAATGACTTGCTTAGAGAAATAAAAAGGAGAAATTATTCCAAAGTGGCAATACTGATTCATGGGAGTGTATTTATTTGCTGAATTTTGAAGGACTCTTGAATTATCTGGCAAGTAAATAGATTTTAAGGAGCCATTTGCCATCTTGACACTTTGGAATGTTAAAAAATAAAGTGATCTAGTTTTTCAAGCCTCCCTTTCCTCAGCCATAAAGTTCTACAATCGTTGTGCTTGTGGCCTTAATTCTGAGGGTTTCATGTGACCATGCATGAGGACACTCTGTGGTATAAGGTACTCCAGCACACCCCAGGTCCTCAGGTCCCCTTTGCCTTGCATTCTGCTTTCTGCCAGGCAGCTCCCTCCCTGTCCCTCTTAAGCTCACTAAGGCTCATGCTTCAGTGACCCAGTGGCACGGAGAGGAGGGAATAATGTCTCAGCACCCTACTTCGTTAATGCTGCATAAGAAAGTACCACTGAATAAGAGCTGCAAACCCTGAAATGCTCAAACAGATGTTACTATAGACAAAAATATAAATTACGCAGTACTTGAAGAAAACATTCTCTTCCATTCATTGCAGCTAATGTAGACCTCAGAACCTGACCTATATAAATCTTTTCCATGCAGGGGAAAGAAATAAGCTTCCTCAAACCTTAGAACTATTTTGACTGTATAATATAGTTTTTCCAAGATAAATTTTTAAAATTTAACTCATTGAAATAAAATAAATGTCCATAAACAATATATATATAGATGAAGATTAAGACTGTGAGATGGTCTGGGAATTTAGCTCAGCAGCATAAGTGCCTGCCTGGCAAGTGTGAGGTCATGAGTTCAATCCCCTGTACCAAGAAAAAAAAAAAAAACACTGTGAGAAGGAAAACTCAGAGATTATTCACACAGGTGTTTTAAAGAATAGGCCTAGAAAATCATCAGTCTGGTCTTGTCCAGTGACTCTGAGGTTTTAGAGGTGGCGGTGATCACGAGCAGGACTTTTATGAGTTATACTGCAGAAATAAGGCAAACAGACTGTTTATTCTGACAGCAGCAAGGTAGCAACACAGACAATACTCACCTTTCCAGAAGAAAATTCCCCTCCTAGGGATTCTGAAGATGAGTTAAACCCAAGCTAATCCAAACCTGGGTTTATTTAAAAAGTAAACCAATGGGATAAATTTTGCCCTTGCATAGGTTTGCAGTAAGTAGAAGACTGTTTTAAGAAAATGTTTACATCTATATAAATTTTTAAGGTATCTTTCCTGACCTGATTGTTAAGAGTCCTTTTAATGGAATTCTGCATGGCTTCATGAATAATGCAGCTGTGGACTGTGATGAGATGGACTAATTAGAGCACTGCCAGCAGACCCTGACAACTGCTGAGCAGACCCCGCGCTTTCCAGCTACAGGCGGTGTTTGGCGGAGGAGTTGTGGTCTGTGTCCCTGCCTGGGTCCCCTCTGCTCCCGAGCCTCCTGCAGCTGCAGACCACCTCCCCATGGCACTCAGACCTCTTCTCTCTGTGCTTCATTCATGCGTCCCTTCTCCCACTTTGCTCTTGATGATGTGAAGAGTCCAGTGCGGGCTTGGCCTCTGTTTCTCTGGGGAGGTATCATTTCCCCAGCAAGCTCTGGAAGTCCAGGAGTGCCTGTTCTGATGCAGCGCAGAGCTTGTGGAGCCCAGCTGAGCAGCGGCCCTCGAGGACTACCTGCTTGGTGGAACAGGAGCACCTTCCTGTGGGGTGTAGCTGCTCACCCTGTGGGGCTCCTGTGCAGATCAGCCTGTCCTCCCCTGTCTGGCCTTGCACCTCCAGCAGTTATTTTGCAGGCGGTAGGGGCTGGGGATTTAGCTCAGCGGCATAAGCGCCTGCCTTGTAAAGCAGGCAGTCGTGAGTTCGATCCCTGGTACCGATAAAAAGGAAAAAGACAAAAAAAAAAAAAAATGTAAATATATATTTTGCAGGCGGTAGAGCCTAGGTAGCATGGGAAAGAGGATGAATTAAGCAGTTTTGTCTTCTGAGATCAAGGAAAGCACCAGTCCCAGACATTGTTCCTATCACTGCTGGTACCAGAGCCGCTGAGGGCATGGGGATTGTACCCACCACTACAAACAGAGCTTTACTATAGAATTTCAGTCCTGGGTGTCATACACTTCGCTCCTGGGCATGGTGTGATGGGCAGTGCACTGGCAACCTTTACCTTTTATTATGTGGCTCTGGTTGTCTCTGATGGACAAAACTGAACACTTGTCTCCTGCAAGTGAGGGGCTGGGTGTCCAGGCACCACTGTCAACGATGCTGAAGTCCCAAAGAGGGACAGACACAGTACATAGGTTGGCTGTGCCTGCTTGCTTTTGCCTCATTTCTTGTAAATACCTTATCCCTGCAGTCTTCAAAGCCCCTACAGATGGAAAAGGCTTTCTGGCTCTGAAGATGAATGTAAAATGATTCTGTCCCTGGTTAGTCCAGCGAAACCTTCCAAACCATCTTGTAGGAACTGGTCTGAGATGTTTCTCTTCATGCTGGAGTGAGGACAGGGGTCACAGAACAAGAAGCTCTGGGTTGAACAAAAATACAAAAGCAACACAGTCTGTCTTCCTTTCAGTATAAGAACTGCTCTGTACTCAAATTAAAATGACCTTCTTTCACAAGTACAGGACGGCCAGCATGGCATGTGATTGTCAAGAAGCATGACAGGTCCAGCTTCTATTTTTACATTGGGTATTATCTCGGCCTGTCTCTATTTAGAGCCAGCTGACTCCACAGGCTCACTCAGAGACAGTTCACTGGTGACAAGAGGAGGAGCCACCCTGCTAGACTCCTGAAAAAGTCTTCCAAAATGTGTCAGGAACAACCGAGTTATGTAGCTGTGCCAATTTAGGTTCCACTCAGTTTTAAAGTGAAGAGTGAAATGGATTCCTTTTCCTCTTAAATCAGTATAAATTTGGTTACTGATGTACACCTTGGGCTCGTTTACGCTTGCCTTTAGAATATTAGACACTGCTTTGAACTTCATTATTTATTATTTAATTTTTTAAAGTGTTTTAAGTTTTCAAGGTTTTTATTCCAAAAGACTGTGTCCAGCTAAGTGGAACCAAACTGCAGTAGGTGAAGCAAAATGAAAAAGAAATGAAGGGAGAAAAGAAAAGAAGAGAAAGCCAAGATGGAGAGCCACTTTGGGGTGGTTTATTTTGATGGAGACATGTTACATATCCTGTCTCGGCCCTGGCAGGCTGCAAGTATTCAAAAAGTGCCTCTGTAGCTCAGCCACTGAGGAACTCACCACCAAAGTTAAAAATAGAGGGCCCAAAGGACAAAAATGTACTTAGTCCTGGTAGATTTACTATTACTAATTTTTGCTGTATTTGAGAGTTATTTATTTTACCACTGCATATCAAGTGTGTGCTCTTATTTGCTTTGAGCTATAGAAACAGTGAGACCCAGACCGTCACGGTGTGGGAAGAGCTCTGAGTCGAGTGGCTTACCTCTCCCCATCTTGCAGGCTGTACCCACGCCATGCGAGTGCCCTGAACAACCTGGGAACACTGACGAGAGACGTGGGGGAGGCGAAGCGCTACTACCAGAGGGCCCTGCAGCTGCACCCACAGCACAGCCGTGCACTCTTCAACCTCGGGAACCTCCTGAAGTAAGTGGGCAGCACCCTGCCCCCGTGGGCCCCCGTTCTGAGACACCTTCCCATCGCCAGGCTCCTATCATCATCCTGCATGGCTACTTCCTGGAGCTGAAGGGTTTCCAAACTTTGGGAGAATGTATTATTCTTCTCTATGCTCCAAACTTTGGGAGAATGTATTATTCTTCTCTATGCATCCTCGCCCGTTAGAAAGTATTTCCCAGAGTCTTCCTGGGCGTACTAGCTCTGGAACATGTTTAGAGATTGTGAGGGTAGGAGTGGGGAAGGTTTACAGGACCAGATCAACTCAGATATGATGTGCTGGGCTAAGCAGAGATGGTTCCTGTATGGCAAGGAGCTCTAGTCTGCTTATAGGCCTTGTGAATCTTCAAGAAGGAAACAGATTCAGCACTTCCCAGTCTGTCTCTCTCCCTTTCCCCGGAGCTCCATCTTGCTGAGGGAAGAAGAGGAAACTGTGGTCCTAATAACTGTCCTGTAAAAGGCACCTCTTTTACTCTCCATCTATTCACTGTGGAACAAAGTAGCAATATTCTAGTGGGGGCCAATCTGAGAACCTAAGAAATCATTAAGATTTGTGTGACCTTTCCAGTCTGTAGACATGTGACATGTGCATATAGATGTAAGATTCATCTCCAGTGCTCGTTCAGGGAGCTCTGTGACCTTGACTTAGGCTGTAGCCGACCCCAGGCTGAACTCATGGCCTTGTACACTACATCCGTTCACTTTCTACTACTGTGCTGCCCAACCAGAGGTTACCTCACATTAAAATATCTGGTTGCATATGATTTGCTTGGAGGAGGTATTAGGGGTTGCACCCAGGGCTTTTGTACTAAACTGCATCCCTAGTTCTTTTCTGGTTTTGTTGTTTGCTTGTTTTTCTTCTTTTTACTCTGAGACAGTCTCACCTGCTACATTGTTAAGTGGTCCAGGCTGGCTGGAATATATGAGCCTATTGCATTAGCCTTTTGGAATTCTGGGATTATAGGCATATACTACCATACTATGCAGCTGAGTGATTGTTTTTTGGGGAGAATGCCAATATACATGTCTCTCTGCAGGGGACAACAAAGGTGGCTTACATTGTGCTGAGGTAGCATTGCTAAGTGACAGAGAGAGGTGACCTAGAAGACAGCAGAGCAAATCTACATCTAGATAACTCTGAGCTTTGCTTTTACTTGATATGTCTGAGCCAGTAGCCATAGGTCAAAAGCAAGAAAAACAAAGAATATTTTACAGGTGATTGATTTGCTGTTTTGATATTTATTTGGGATTTGTGCCTTATTTCTCTCCTGACTTAACTTTTGAGTTCTAAAAATTACACTTTTAAAAGTTGTGTTCTTCTATGTAATGTACCACTTAATCCTCATTCTAAGAACTTAAGTCATCTCTAAATTTGAGCAATTTAGATTTGATCACTTCAAGGAGGGGAAGATGGTCATTGTTCCTGGTTATAAATGAGGACATACAGATTGGGAGAAGATAAGCAGCATGCCCAGCCCTTGGGAAGTGAGTAGGAGACAAGGAGTGGAACGTAGGTCCATCTGAGCTGAGTGTCCCAGCCCTGATCACCGTGCTCCACTGCCTCCCTGGGGCCTCAAAGCTGAAGAACAGTCTGAAGTAGCACTGTCCATCAGAGATCCAATGAGTGCCAGACATGAAATTTAAAATGTAAAGACACAGTTGGGCCCACCCAGCGATTACCAAGTGGCCCAGAGCCGCTTGCACTCCACCTCAGGAGACAAAAGTGTATATAGCATCGCCATCCAGCAGTGAGGCCTCAGGACATTGCTCAGAGCCGGGTAGGGGCCTACTGAGCATCCTGCATCACCAGAGGACCACTGGGAAGGTCCCTTCAGGCTTTGTTGGCTCCCATCCAGTGACCCTGAGTGGCTGGGAGCCACCTGGCAAGGCCTGACTAACAACCTGCACTCAACTGGGGAAACTCCCTGAGATAGGGATAGATATTCTCAATCCAAGAAACAACTGAGGCCTTGCCTTCAGCTTCCTTAGGGGAATACAGGAAAATGACAAAAGAGAAAAATGCAATCTCAAACCTCCAGCCCATCCCAAGCAAGACATGGAAGAAAATATAAGCCATACATCTGAAACTCCTGAAATAATAGCAACTGAAATAAAGAAACAACTCCAGGAAGCTATACAAGAACTCAGATCAGAAATGATCTCCCAGATAAAGGAAAAAATGATAAATGCAATGAAAGAAATGCTGAACACATCCAAAGAAGACATAGTTAAAATATTAGAGGAACACTGCAAAAAGATGGAAACCTTGAATGAACAATATAAAAAACAGAATGCATGAGACATATTCAAAGAGATGTCCAGGAAATCAAAAATTTCATCAAAAGTTAGCACAAGCACCTCAATGAAAGTAAAGATAGACTTTCAGACTTCAAACACAAGTTTGCATTTAGTGAGCAGGAAAGAAAAAATATATTTAAAATAATAAAGAATCAGGAAATTACAATTTAACAGCTGCAAGATGATGCAAAGAAAATCAAAATTTTATTGATAGATGTAAATGAAAAAGATGATGACAATACAAATGCTATCAAGAGACTATTCACAAAAGTAATACGCGAAAATTTCCCAAATGTGGAAATGGAAACTGATATACAGATAAATGAAGCATATAAAACTCCAAATAGCCATAACCAAAATAAAACTACACCCAGACATACAATAATCAACATCCCAGAATTTAATAAAGAACAGAATATTAAAAGCCTTTAGAGAGAAGAGATAGGTGACCTTTAAAGGAAAGCCAATCAGAATCATAGCAGACTTCTCAACACAAACAATGAAGTCAAGAAGAGCATGGAATGAAATATTTGAGATTCTAAAGGAAAATGACTTTCAAGCCAGATTGATATACCCTGAAAACATGTTGGAGAAATAAGATACTTCCACGAAAAAGAACAGCTAAAGAATTTCATAAGCACCAAACCAACCCTGAAAAGAATACTGAAAGGTATTCTAGATAGGCGTAAGAAGAAAATGCTAAGCAAGACAAACAATTAAACAGAGAGGAAAGGTAAAAAACCAATAGCATAAAGATAACATGATGAAAATAAATCAGCATATATCAATTATAGCCATTAATGTAAATGGCCTCAATTAACCAATTAAAAGAAGCAAACTGGCAGAATGGATCAAGAAACAACATCCAACTATATGCTATATACAGGAAACCCATCTAACACAAAAGGAGACTCATAGATTCAAACTCAAAGGATAAAAAACAATATTTCAGGCAACAGGAAGCCCCCCCCCCAAAAAAAGCAGGGGTAGTTATTCTATTTGCAAACAATGTGAACTTCAAGCCAAGAAAGATCCAAAGAGATAAAGAAGGTCACTACCTACTAGTTAGGAGAAAACTTCAAGAGGAAGAGATAACAATCTTAAATATATATGCACCAAATTCGGGAGCACCCAGCTATACAAAACAAATACTAGCAGATATGAAAAATCAAATAAACCATAACACAATTATAATGGGATACCTTAATACCCCATTGACACAAAGAGACAGCTCAACTAGACAGAAAATCAGCGAAGAAATAACAGAACTGAATGACACCCATGAACAAATGGACTTAGTGGATCTGTGCAGAGTGTTCCACCCAACAACATCAGAATATATGTTCTCAGCAGCACATAGGACATTCTTTAAAATAAACCATATACTAGCCCACAGAACATGCTTAAATAAATGCAAAAGAAATTACCGCATGCATGTTATCTGATCATAGTACTATGAAACTAGAAATTAATGACAAAAGGAAATATAAAAACTCCACAAACAAATGGAAATTAACTAATAAATTCTTGAGCAATCAGTGGGTCACAGAGGAAATTAAAGAAGAAATTAAACAACATTTACAAGCAAATGAACATATAAATACAACTTACTGGAACCTGTGGGATGCAATGATAGTAGTCCTCAGAGGAAAAAATGTTGCAGTGAATTTCCACATTAGGAAAACAGAACAAACACAAACAAACAACCTGATGCTACATCAAACATCAAAAAAAAAGTAGAGCTAGTCAAGCCCAAAGCCAAAAGAAGGGAGGAAATTACAAAGATCAGAGTCGAAATCAATGTAATAGAGACTAAGAAAACAATCTAAAGAATCAATGAATCAAAGACTTGGTTCTTTGAAAGATAAATAAAATATTAATAAGCCCCTAGCCAACCTTATTTTAAAAAAGGAAAGAAAAAACTCAAATTCATGCAATAAGGAATGAAAAGGGCAAAATCACCACAGACCCTGTGGAAATACAGAAGATCATCAATATCTACTTTGAAAACCTCTATTCTCATAGGTTTGATAACACAGAAGAAATGGACAAATTTCTAGAAATATATGAATTACCAAAACTGGATCAAGAAGATACAAAACTGTTAAATAACCCAAATTAAATTAATGAAATTGAAAATGTAATTAAAACCTAACCACAAGGAAAAGCTCAGGTTTTGATGGATTCACTGCAGAATGCTACAAGAAGTTTAAGGAAGACAAGGCCAACACTCTTCAAACTCTTCAATAAAATTGAAAGGGAAGCAATTCTCCCTAACTCATTCCTAGAAGCAAGTATCACTCTAATACCAAAACCAGAGAAAGACCCATCCAAAAATGAGAACTACAGGCCAATCTTCATAATGAACATAGATGCAAAAAATTCTCAGTAAAATACTGACAAACAGAATGCAGCAAATCACCAAGAAGATTATACACCACGACCAAGTGGGATTCATCCCAGGAATACAGGGATGGTTCACCATATGCATATCAATAAATGTAATCAACTATATCAGTAGAGCCAAACATAAGAATCACATGATCATTTCTATAGATGCAGAAAAGGCTTTTGTTAAAGTCCAACACTCATTCATGATAAGAACCCTACAAAAAATCGGAATAGTCATTACCTCAATATGATAAAGGCCATCTATGACAAAACCAACAGCTGTC